TTATTATGTCACATGTTTTATGCTCTAAATAACTATAGGCCTAACAAAGAGGCTTCTGCACCTAATGATACCCACAGACTCTGAATAAACTTTTACACATTTGCCTTTTTCTGCATTTGACAAAACAAACAATACACAAAATAATCATGACTTGAGCCAAATACTTGAACTAAGGTGTAAAATTAAGTTAAAAAAATATATAAAAGTCCCAAACATAAAATTACCATTGAAGTCATGTCATCATGCATGAATCTTTACTGATTATTCATAGATAATTGCACCAACAACATGTACACTGCAGTGCACAGTTTGTGCACAGACACCTCTGCAGGATACCCACCTCAGTTACTTTGATAGCGTGCATTAGAGAAAAAATATTTCCCCTGGCAAACACCGGAGCTCGTCAGTGGCTGTGTCCATTATTTATGATGGAGTCTGTTGTTAATTACGGCCCTCAGAAATTCAATATGAACCGAGAGTTTCCAGACTATTTTTAATAGTTTGTCTGGTGACCAAGTAACAGTATTTTGTGTACTCTTCCCAAACCATGAGGGTTGTTTACGTGAGCATTCCCTATAATTCTTTGACAATTCATCCCACCATGATGTGCACGTGAGGTGCTTGTTAATATATATTAAAAAAAGGTTTGTAAAGCAGCAGAGAATGGGATGTGTAGCAGACCTAATTATAAAAATGTCAGTGTGGGCCTGGTTTATGTGTTGTAAATGTAATCTTATTTGAGTAGTTTAAGCATCTATTACTAAATAGTTGACTGTTAATAGGACTGATGAATGAGGATTTGTATTTGGTTAGTGCTAAAATATTTAAGTATATTTATTTTCTTCCCTCTTTAAAACAGCACTGTAATCAGTCGGACCACGTCACAAAGCTGTCAGACATTCTCAACTTAATCTTCACGGTGCTCTTCACTGTGGAGATGATTCTCAAGCTCATGGCCTTCAAAGCACGGGTAAACGCTCTGACGATTATTGTCTGGATTCTCATCCACCCACTCCCACTGCCTAATGTGTCAGTATGCTTCACCTGTCTGTGCAGGGTTACTTTGGAGACCCGTGGAATGTGTTTGACTTCATTATTGTTATCGGTAGCGTTGTTGACGTCATCCTGAGTGAAGTTGATGTGAGTACATATAAGCATATGTTATATCGTTATTAAAGAACACCATTATGAAGTGAAACTGCTTTGTTTGCTACATTAAGACATTTTTAGTGCAATATGATTTAGAATGACCACATGTATTTATTTAGTAATCTTACCCAGAAGCATATAATTGTGGCCCAACAGCTGATTGGCACCAGGAGAACTAGTTCACAGGACATGGTCAGTACTGTTGTC